TAACATGATTTGAAATTACAATGGCCATTATGAAGCACATTCCCTATAAACAAAACTGCTCTTGAAAAGCATAATTAAAATTGAGGGCTCCCAATTTAGGACCATTCAGGATGTCCATTGATATGCAGAAGCTTCTAAAAGATTTTATTTTATATCTTTTAAGACTCTATAAAAGATAAATGATAAGTTTAAAGGACATAAAAATAGTCTATCAAAGTTTTTGCTTTGTTACTAGCCTGCTCCAAGGTAAAAAGAAAGCTAGATAAATGATTTATTAAAACAGTTTCAAATGTACCTAAAGGTCAAACTAGGTTGTATCTTGTTCAGTGATATCTAAGCAAGATCCACACTGAATAACATGCATCAGAAATGCTTTATTTGTTTTTATTAATTGGCTCTACCATAAAATCAGCAATCAATTAAAAATACTCTGAGTTTAAAAAGCCACGTGTCAATTAAATCGGTCTTCAAAAATACAACTTTTGGCAATTTAGTGGTCTATTTTTAAATCTTGGGAAAATTCCATGTATTTCTAAATACTTCTTAAGTCACTAAAGTTTCTTACAGTGGAAAATGCACAAATTTAAATGCAAAACATGAGCCAACTACATAGTATATATAGTTGTTCAGGGCTCTGTGTAGAGAAATCCAACTGTGGTTCAAATCCCACCCCACCCCCTGCACACTGCTTAAAAAAGCAGAGTATATATACCTCCAAACTACCATTGATAGGATAAAAAAATGGAGGAAAGGGGATTGCTATGTGACCATGCCCTCTTGGGAGTACTTTTACCTCCTAGGTCTAACAAGGACACCTACTCTCTGGCAATTAAACTGCATAACATTTCTCACCTTTAATCATCTTGTATTTCTGGTATGTGCCTTTGAAATATAAACTGTTGGGACTCAGCAACTTAGCGTGTTTGTTCATTCCCAAAATCCCAAAAGGGTTTTGGAAGAGAAGGGATTGAGGCATGGCCATCCTCCCTGGGAGTTATTTCCTGTTTTCTGTCTGTCTCTCTCTGGTGAGCGCATGTGCCTTGTAGCATTTTGGCACGAATAGTTTTTGTTCTCTAAACAAACAAACAAAAAAATATAAACTGTCTACCTTGTTTAACCAACAAATTGTACCTTTTAAATAGATGCTTAGAGAGTTAGAACAATTAAAGACAAAATTAACAATTAAAAAGTATTGCTAAAATATTTATTAGTAAGCATAAGTTTAAAGTTTATATACTTTGGCATTTTGATTTTATACAATTAAAGAAAAAAACTAATGGGACCAGCAGATATAGTTACATCACTAGACTCCCATTTACTTGACTGTGGTTTGAGTCCCGGATCCAGTAGCTTAAACTCATGCTGGGTGCATGTGCCTGTGTGCCCAAGATCCTGAGAGGAAAATGGAGAAGAAGGGATTGTGGTGTGGCCATCCCCCCTAGGAGGTGATTTCTCACATTCTGTCTCTCTGTCTCTCTGTCTTTCTGGTGAGAGTACACACCCTATAGCAGAAAACTCTCAAAAAATTATATTTGACTCTTATTTGTTCCAAAATAAGTATATAAAAAGTGTAAGGCTGCTCTTGAGACAGGCATGGATAAGTGCCTGTAGTTAGCTCCATGCCACCTACCACTCAACAGAAGCAAGTATTGAAAGACTAGATTTGGTAAGTGGAAAAAGAAATTTATTTCAGTTGGGCTAGCACTGGTAAGAAAATATTGACCAGAGTGACTATTTATGCCTTAATGGATGAGATGCAAGATTAGTATAGATAAAGGGGGCCTATGAAAGCATACATACAGATGTAAAAGCAAGTTATTTATTGTGTTGACAGAATCAGAAGAGATTTGATTACATCACGGAATCAGTCCCAGTATTAGGGGATTTTCTTTTTGGGCAAGCAGGAAATAATTAACCAGGTTCAGTCTTTGCAATGGGCTTGAAGATGAACAATGATTTGTAAAACTGAAGAAGCCAGGGTGGAGCTAATCAAGGCAACTCTTAGATCCTCAGTTTGATACAGGTAGTTTTCCAAGTGCTTGGGCTAATAGGGAGGGAGCTAATGGAATCTTTACCCTCCTTGTTTCCAAAACTAGGTATCTGTAAAGACTTGGCAGGGTTAAAATATGAACCATTCTCAGCTCTTCAGGATCTCCTTTACTTGCCGAGGGTATTCAAGTTTATTTAAACAACAACAACAACAACAATAAACTCTATTTGCTTTCTAGCAGAGCCTGAGATAAGAGATAAGCATCTAAAGGCTAAACTCTGCAGCTACTTGGAAAGACACAAAAGGAAAAAAAAGCTTAAATAACTTCTTAGGAGACCTTGAGATCTTTTATTTGTGTGTGTGCATGCATACATGTTACATAGTATGTTGTATGTCTATTTGATAAAAGGCCTTAAAGAATTCCACTCAGTTTGATTTATAAAAAAGAGTGCTCATACAAATGAATTTAAATGCTTTTCAGGTTCATGTGACTTAAGTAAATAAGCTGGTTTCAAATATGGTAAAAGAAAAAGAGTTTAATAAATGAGGATCTTCATGATTTCCAACATATCCAAGATTTTATTGATCAGGTAACATTTTTATCTTAACATAGCTGGTTTAATGAAACAGTATTTATGTGCTATGTGTTACATTTTACATGGTAGATATCTAACAGGGAAATGGATTCATGAATAATTATTTCTCACTTTAGCTTTGGTGCCAACAAACATTGGGTTAACACTTTTTCTTCCCTAAGGTGCTTGGGGAACATTTAACTTTCATTTTCTGCTGATAGTTAAGTCTTTAAGCTTTTCATTATCTTTTTTTATTTTTTGGAGAGGTTTTTGCTATAGGGTGCATGTGCTCACCAGAAAGACAAGAGAGACACAGATAGACAGAAAGTAGGGGATAACCAAGCCACAATCCCTTCTCCTCTATTCTCCTCTCAGGATCTTGGGCACACATGCCCACGTGCATTTCTCCTCTCAGGATCTTGGGCACACATGCCCAGGTGCATGGCGTGAGTTTAAGCCACCAGGTCCAGGACTCGAACTGCAATCAACTACATGGGAGTCCAGCGACATAGCCATTATGCTATCTGCTGGTCCCACTTTTCATTACCTTTGACAAGTTTTCCCCAAAATCAAAATCTAAGTTAAGTTCCTTTACCTCAAAATAACTTTTGGATATTTATGGAGAGCCCCTGTAACATCCAAAAGAGAAATATTAGAATTTAACTTATTTTAATATGTTAAATGTATGGAAACCAGTGTCAAACTGAGCAATTTTAATTTTCTTTACATTATATTTGAGTTACATATATGAATATGTTATACGTATATTTGTGTATATATGTATGTGTGCATTTATACATGCACTGTATTCCAAAATGATTTGAGATTCCCAGAAATTGATAGTGTATTACTTATTAGTCATGTTGTAGGTTATTATGTGAAATTAGTGTATGTCACAGATATAGCCAAATTTCTTTATCAATTGTAAACTATTGTCAGAGCTTTAACTATGATTAGTTCAGATCTTATGGTCCATTGCTTTGATGTCTTTCCAAAAAGCCTTTTTCAAATGACTATAATCTTAAAGTGTTATGTCTTTAAAGAAATTCAGATAAAGGATGGAAATAAGAGGTATCCTTGGGGACCAGCAGATGGGGTAATGGTTACGTCACTGGACTCCCATGTAGTTGACTGTGGTTCGAGTCCTGGACCCAGTGACTTGAGACTCATGGTGAGCACATATGCATGCATGCCCAAGATCCTGAAAGGAGAATGGAGAAGAAGAGATTGTGGCATAGCCATCCCTCCTGGGGGGTGATTTCTTGCTTTCTTTCTCTCTGTCTCTGTTGAGTGCACATGCTCTATAGCCCCCCCCCCCAAAAAAAAGATATACTCTTGTAAGTACAGGTTTCTGATGATCTAATCATCAAACTAGGTAAAAAATATGTCAGTTTCTGTGGAGAAACCAATTGGTTTTCTAAACTTCTAAGTCAACCATTAAGTAGAACCAGAAATAACCAAAAGCAAGGAAATATTTTGACAGAATTGTGTGCTACATCTGCCAATATCAAAATTGTTAAGCTATGTATCACTTCCTGGCTTACCGGCTAAAATCAAATGTAAGTTGTTAAGATCTTTAATTTAAATGAATTCCATAAGCTTGATCTAAGTAAAATTACCTGTGACAATCTGTTTAATAACCAATGCTATGCATCTAAATTAAAGAGGTAAATTGACATAAAGTGATGTAAATCTAATACTAAGCATGGACTCATGGAGAGCTTATGGACAGCTGCTTAGTTCTTTCTGAGTAGCTCTCATTATTTAAAAAGTCTACACTCCATTATTTATAAAATAAATAAAATGATCTAGATTTTATAAATGCACACACTCACACACACACACATATATATAACATATAGATAACTTGTACAGTGGTATTAGTATAGTGACTGCTCTAAAATTCCTAAAATGTCTTATAGCCAATGTTCAGTCTGTCAACTTGATATTAAGAAGACAGTAAAAACTGTAGGTGCATTTCTACTATTTAATATGCTATTTAAATACTATATGGGGATTTCACTCATTGCCATTTTCATTACATATTTTTAGTTGTGTAGGAACTTTCCCATGAAGGAAGGTAATGCTGTAATGATAGTTACAAGGTTATTAGAAAATGGGTTTTCTCTAATGAGACATTTCTGGGAAAATCTGAGGTGACTAAACTCTGCCAGGCTTTAATTCATTATGCCAAAGTATATTTTCATTGAGTAAAGGATGCTGTCTGTGATTCGCTGACTGAAGACAAACTCTTCATGGTCCAGAGTAGGGGCCATCTGGAAATGACACCAGAGAAAGACTGCCCAAGAGCCCTATTGGGAGACTCACACTGCAGTAAAGCTTTAAGGTATTGAATTCTGAATTCACAACTCAGAAAGGCGACTTCAGATTTTTTAAAACTGTGCACTTGTTGGAGATTTTAAGATAAAACTGACCAGGAAAATTTCTTCTTCAGAACAGGTATCTTGGACATGGACAGCTTTTCCCAATATCACAGATCGAGACTTCTCTGCCATCACGAAAACATAATGTTTCTTTTTCTTAATTCCTATTGTCTTAATACTTTCCTCTTTCCCACAGGAAAATCCATGTGACTATAATCAGTAACTGACTTTAATTTGAGCTTACGTTCTAAGCAAAAAACAAACAAACAAACAAACAAAAAAACAGAACAACATTTGGGTTTATGGGCTAATGTAGAAAAGATCAAGAAAGAATTCCACTGATGTCAACACCTCTGTTTCAAATGAGAGTTGCCCTAAAACCTAAAAGAAAGAGTAAAAGCTATTTCTTTTTTTAAATTTTTCAAAAGATAAGCTAGTTTACAGTGAGAATAGATTTCAGTAGGGTTCCTGGAGATTCACTTTTGGCAGTAATGACATACCAGTTATATTTAAAGTTTATCCATAAACTGGAGAGAATTTTCAAAGTTTGTAGCCACTTAGACTTCCTAGAATTTCAGGTGGGCAAAAGTCACCCTCCGAAAAGGTGAATGATTAACATACAAGTCTAACAAAATGCTTAATAAAATATCATCCAGCTTTAGATCTCCTATTTGTTCAAGATAGAGGCTTATGTTTCATACTGAACTAAACTAAATATTGTACCTATTTAGGTCAAATTAAAGGAACAGATAGATGTGTTTACAAAAATAACTGACAGTTCATTTGCAGACATCCTAAATGATGGATATAAAGGGCTTGGGTTTTTCAAGGTTTCTAATATTTCTATTTCTTCTAATAGGCCTCTAAATTATTATAACTTTTGTTACTAGACTAAAATCAAAACCTTTTTAAATCAAGCCATTTTATAGAGAGCAATGGTCCTTAATTATAATTACACTCTGAACAAGGAAGATGACCAACTAGACTGTAGAAATACAGTAAATTTGTCTATGTTGTCTAAATCTTATTTAGTTTGGTTTCATTTGTTTCATGGAAGCTTTTGTTAAGGAGTACAGTTTGAGCTTTGAATGTTAATCCAAATAGTCATTTCAGCATCCTTGGTGCACTATATCCTATCCAATCTTAAATGTTTTGTATGCAGCCATCCATCACACACTGAATAATTTTTGCTTCAACTGGATCAATAAGAACACAAAAAAGGCACTGTTCAACTAGTGTGACATTGTGACTTATGAATTCCATGTCAGAGACCAGAGAAAACATCTGAATTTTATGCTGATTGTGATTTCTATGCTGAGAGAAGGAAAAGTCATTTACGACGGTGACAGAGAGTGGTACCAATGCCCTGAGTTTTATTCAATCTTTCAAAATTGAGAGGCTGACCCAAAGGGGGGAATTGTTAAAGAATATGACAAAGCCTCCATACTCCTGCTTAGTTTCCATAAACAACTTTGAACTCATTTAGATAAGGTTGCTCTTTTGGTTGGTTGCTAGGTTACAGCCAATCACAGTAGCTAGGCTTCAGTAAATTACAGGCATCTCACCTTTTAAACTGAGTTAATGCAGACAACTTCAGAATGTAACCAACCTAACTGATTTCCTGCTTCATTTCTTCACTTTCAGTTTTGTAAGTCACTTTCATGTTCCTGCAGACATCACTTTCCTTTTCCAGAACTTAAAATACTGTGTGACCACGAGGCTACTCAGATTTGCTCGGAAGTTGGTCTGGGAAACTGTCCAATTAGAATTGTGTTAAGATGTGCACAATTAAACTGCACTAAATTAAATTGTTTGTTACAGTTTTTATTTTAACAGTCCAAAGACATCACTAGATGGTGGGAAGCAGAACTTAGAGGACAGTGTAACATATTATACATTCATGTGCCCTCTGCTTGGTTCATTTCCTTTCTTTATAAACCCACCATGACTCAATCATGGGGACCCTGCTGTAAATAACCAATCACTAATCTCTTCCCCAAAGCCCAGCTTTTGACATCACCTTCTTAATCCAGTTATAGTGGTTCAACACATGAATTGGGGGACCTATACCTACTATACCAAAGACAATATGTTTCACTTTATTTTCCTGATACTGCTATTATTGTATTGTCAACATTACAGTCTGTCCCTAGGTGTAATCTCAATGTTGAGTCACACATGCCTCTAGTACTAAAATATATAGTTTTATAAACCGTTATAATCATTTGATATTAATAAGTAAAATAACTGACTTTTTCCCCAGGAAATTTTATGTTTCTGTTTCCAATGTTATTAAAACCGTTATAATCATTTGATATTAATAAGTTTAATAACTGACTTTTTTCCCAGGAAATTTTATATTTTTGTTTCCAATGTTATAACTTACTGCAATAGTTGCCTCTGTTGTGCTTGACTAGTTACAATATAAATATTTTTTACCATGTTCCAAAAGTTGCTTAGATTTTAACAGAAGCTACTAATGGCAGTTATCAGAACAATTAATTTCCTTTGTATAACACCTACCATAAGGGCATAATCTGAAGCATGTCGTTCATTATTAAACTGTAGAGATAGTACAGAGCTCCAGCAATTTCCCAGTCCAGGCTTGATAATTTCAAGATTATCTAAGATAAATGAGTATAAATATTCACCTATTGTTATCTTATTTATAAAAGGAGGATCTATGCAAGCAATCAGAAGATATTAATGTGTGATATATTTTGTAACCTCATGTACTTAAACTGTTAGTAAAAGGATAAATGAAGTGACATTGATTTCTCATAAAAACGCATTGCACAGGAAAATTTTTAAAGAACAAATCAGAACAAATTTATACCTTTAGCTTGTTTATCAATAAGATATTCAAATGGAGACTTACCCCATAACCAGACTTAAATCTAAAATGTGTGTGTTATTGGTTGAAGCAGAATAATGCAAAACTTGAAAACTACCCTATAATCACTTTCATTTTGAAAAGTTGAGATGTTGTGCAATCCACAACAGGTATTACACATATCTCTACAGTTTTAAGCTATAAAGTTCTATGTTTGACAAATCTTTAGTGCCATATATTCCACATTACATTATCATATAGAAGTTCACCACTCTATAAGAATCCTTTGTGCTTCTCCTATTCAATAGTTTCTCCCCACTAAATCCTTGGCAAACCAGTGAAATATTCACTATCTCCATCATTTTGCCTTCTCCAGAATGTCATATAAGTGGAATCACAGTATGCACCTTGTAGAACTGGATTCTTAGCAATATGTATCTAAAATTCACTAAGATCTTTGCATGGCTTAGTAGAAAATTTCTCACTATCACTGAATAGTATTCCATTATAAGGATGTACCATAGTTTGTTTATCCATTCACCTACTGAAGTGTATCTCAGTTGCTTCCAGGCCTATTATGAAAAAAGCTGCCATAAACATTTGCATGCAGGATTTGTGTGGACATCAATTTTTTAGTCAATTGAGTAAAGAACTAGAAAAGATTGCTGGATCATATGGTAATACTAAGTTTAATTCTGTAGGAAATGGGTAAAAAGTCTTCCAAAGTGCTATACCATTTTGCATTCTCATCAACAATAAATGTGAGTTTCTGTTGCTCCTTTTCAGTAATAGTTAATATTAGTGTTTTAGATTTAGAAATTCTAATAGGTGCATAGTCTTTTCATCTAAAATATATACAATAAAAAATCACATGAAATTTTCACATAAGAAAAATTTACAAAATTTTCCTTGCATAAAATTTTCAAGTTTCTCTCTCTTTTTTTTTCTTCAGATTTTTACCATAGGGCACATATGCTCTCTGGTGAGAGACAGAGAGGGAAAGTGAGAAATGACCCCCCAGGGGCTAGCCACATATCAATCACTTCTCCTCTATTCCCCTCTGTGACTTTTAGCATGCAAGCACACATGCCCAGCATGATTTTTAGGCCACAGGATCCTGGACTCTAACCATGTGATTAAGGCCATGAGAAATCCAGTGCCTTAATCACCATGCCACCTGCTGGCCCAAACTTTTTTATAGAATAATCTTAAAACTGTTCATTTTATTTTTGAGCTTAAAATGTATTTATGCTAAATTTTATGTATGTTTAGAATATACTTTTAACTGTTTTGAACTGTTTGGTCCAATATGACTTTGAAAATACTAATGACTAATTTTTGTCAAACATCTTATCATTTAGTATATACTGTTGGCATATAGGAGATGCTAGATACTGGTCAAACTTTTCAGTAACTTTGGCTTTTTTTTTTTTTTTTTTTTTTTTTGAGGTGTT